TACATACTCTAAAAGAAGTAAGAATACAGCAGCCATAATCTTCAGTGCCCGATAATTTAATCAAGATGTATATAAGATCTCTTCCAGACCACAGTTACCTTGGTTACCACATTGTCCCACCTGTAGGGTTATAATCTCTCTCGGCATACTGGTGTGCTTTTGTTATACTATTGCATGGGAAGCGGTAATGTGGTATAGTAAAAACCTTCTCCAGTATCAAGTTTTGCCACGTACTAGCCCACGTAACATGTCCGGCTATTTCGATCTCCAACTCACACACATAGACAGTATATATCTCTTGTATATGTGGCTTAAGATTGTGATTATATCTTATATATATATATATATATATATATATATATTATAGTGATACAGATCATATAGTAGACACATCGTTTTCTAATCAGAACCATCTGTGACAACTGACATCTCTCCTCAACGCATTTAAAAAATAGTTCGCGTGTATGTTTAACGTAAACGTATAAAGTCTGGTATTTGAAAGTTATAACGTACAAATGGGGAAGAAAGGGTCTAACCTAATATGAAGAAGCATGGCACTATATGAGGGAAATACGTAGCTATATTGTACTTCAGAACCTATACTTTGCACCTGTATATAACATACAGGACCAAACGTTCAACATAAACTTGAAAGTATTGACTTCTTTACGTTCTACCGGAAAACGTAAATTTTGGACATGGAAGTGGTCCTGTCCAGACCGTCAATTTTTCTTCCCGCGTAAATTTGCGAATGAACTTCAGTTATAAAACTGGAACATGATTTTTAATTTTTTAAATAATAGTATTGAATTGTATTTAGAAAAAAACATAGCCTATGTATATACTTGTTTTTAGAAATATTTAAATACATAGGCTATTATACATACTGTCATAGCCTTCTGAAAATTAGACAAAGTCAATATTTACTGTATGCTAAAAAAATCTAATTGATGACCGATATTTCGGTCAAGCGTAAATATATGATTGTTTTGCTTAAAAAAAAAAACAACCAAAATTAATAAACATGTACACCTGCCTCACATAAACATAGCCTTCTGGAAATTTGACACAGAAGGCTATTTACAACATAAAAATATTATTCAATGTCATTTTGTGTCAGTATGTGTCGTACTCTCGCAGTGACAAGAGTCATCAGCGAGTCGAGACTCGAGAGGTTGTACTTTTAAAAAATATAGATAGTTTGTAGCCTGTACTCTGTAGTGTGAAATACTGCTGTGTGGAGTGTATTTAGACCGCAGATTGCAGACTGCAGAGTGAAGACTGTTTTAAATATTGTCACTTTGTCACCAGTTCACATTTCAAAGTTCACACTTCACCGCCACTGGAATTGAAAGTGGAAAGTGGAAACAGGAAAACATCATGACAACGAGGTAGCCGGTAGGAATGCATGATTTGCTCGTGAAATTTGGATTAGGGAGTGTTGACACATTCCATAAACCCATCTTGCTGCTCCAAGTTTGTGAAAGTTTGGAACATCTGAAATATAACTTTGGTCAGCTGGGATACTGATTCGGATCCGTTCATTATTTTTTAAAAATAAAACGAACAATCATTGTCCCATTTTATTCGGTAGTGTTGGCAGTATTTATTTGGAACCCAAATTTGTTCACACAGGGTTAAAACCCAGGCACCAGAGTCCCAATGTCGACGATCAGATTGCGTCTCAGATAAAACACTGAAAATGGCGACGAGTTGCTTACGTTTAGAAGCGTCATGCCATTTCAAACCGATTTATCTGTTAATACAACTAACCAATAAAATATAAGAAATTTACAGGCGGTTTATGTAGACCAATCATAATCAATAGAAATTCACAGGAGATGACTTAAATGCCGTCATCACTTTGGTCCGATTTTAAGTTTGTGTCATACCCCAAAATTTGGGCATTCAGAGCCCGTCGTTTTCGTATTCGGTTTATACTTTCGTGTGGATAGGAATTCGCTGGAAACCGTTGCGTAGGTTTTATAGTAAAGTACTATACTATTGAGTTATACGAATATAGCGCGCCTACGTATTATTTATGAGACCAGATACACGGTCTACGATGTAAACATATTTGTGTGTATATTTAAGTGTATGTACATGCATGTACATGTATGTATCTGCCAGGCTTACGATTAGGATGCTGTGTAGTGATAAAAGACCTACGCATTATCGTACGCACAAGTATTAGACAATCAAATATACGCATAGAGATACAGTCAATCGATTCAAAGCTATATAATACGAAACGCAGACTAGATATTCTCCAATGATAAGCAAAAAAGAGATAAAGGTACTGTTTGTTTGCTGTAGTAACCAGTACAGTCGTTTAATCGACACGTAAATTCAATACCTATTCCAAACTACCAGAAGTGAATACGTTTACATAAATAAAATCACACACTCATAGATAAAAACACACACGTAAGTGATACGCACACGTATGCGATTAAGTGTACACACGTAAACACAGAGCTGCACACATAAGTAAAATAATGACGTACTCCGATCACCTGCAGCTTGTGCGCATCACCCACGCGAAGCTCAAATCCACCACACCCCCGCAGAGACATGAACGCTTGCACAAGAAGGTGCTACTACATAACCTCCTTTGCAATCTCAAGGACGAGATGGACAGGGGAGAGTATCGCACTAGCAGACTAGATGCACACATACATACAGAGCAGCACACGCGAAAGTCCCGTGGTATTCGCTTCCACACAAAGGTCGAGAGGTTTATATCTCCGAATAGAACTAGTAATGGAGCTATAGATGCAGATGCTCGGATACGTCAACGTCAACAACTACAACCATCTACAAGCGCCGAACCTATTTTATACGGAGATATGGAGGATGACTTCGACGTTTCATATAACAATGATATCTACGATGGAAGTATATTAGGCAACGATGTAGTAGGCAACGATATATATGATAGAAGTATACTAGACGACAGTGGCGAGTTAGAGCTCATGGACGATTTCATGCCAGCGCCAGATTATTTTGATGAAGGCCTCGGAGAGGAAGACACATACGAGAAGGGATGTGTCATGAATACGGATACAAACGGTGAGGAAACACACATGAACATGAACATACACGACTCACACATGAGAACGAATACCTGTAACGCAAATTCGTACGAGCAGCTGTCTGCTGCAGGTGAAGAAGAGGGGTCTGGTACGCACCAGCAGGCAGAGATTATGCACCTGGGTTTGGGCGCTTTGCTCGACCAGGACGATGTTGGGGACACATACACATCCGACTACAGAGAGGCTACTACAGAGTTAGAAGATACGGCGCGTGCGCAGTATTCGCGCGATTTGGCTGATACACATATGGTCGTGGTCGAGGATGACAATGAGAGTATAAATACATATACGAGTATACACACAGATACATATACAGATACACATACAGAGACACGACTTGGGCGTGTTGGGCACAGAGCAAGCGTCGCTTGGGATGGATCTGGCAGGAGGCCCAGGTCTAAATCCGCTCCAGGTGACAGCACCCACTACAAGATGCGAAACAACCACACCACACCAACCACCAAGAAGTCCAATCTCTCGAGACTATACCACGCACCTACAGTCACAACCACAATGGATGCAGCGAATAACACCGCAGCATCACAGGCTGACTCACCAGCACAGGGCCCGCCTGAAGCGCAAGGGATACTAGGCGTGTGCAATTGGAGTGCGCATGAAGGCGTGAGAGGGGATTCAGAAGAAGCTGATTCGACCATGTGCATGGGTAAATCCGTCAACAAGTTGGACTGCGGCGAGTTGGGCAATGCGACCCATTCCAGCGTTGTTGGTGTCATTAGGGCGAGTAGAAGGTTGGGTAGTGGCCTGGCGAACGAGGTGCAGAGGCCCTCTGAGCTGAATTTCCTCGAGATTAGTCAGGAAAAATACGACAAAAACGACAAATACAACAAATACGGTAAATGGGCTGCGACCAGAGTACAGACGAATAGTCGCCTACCTGAACAGCCACTGACTGAACAATATCACACCGCATTGCTTAAACAACACCTTCTAGATACACTTCCTCTGGGCAGTGTGGCCGGTGCAGAGGAACACGAGCAACAGATCACAGCAAAACATACTACTATAGCGCATGTGCCTACTAGTGCACACACACACAGCTCATCTATCACACGAACCCAGTCACAACTACCGGTAGATGCGCAGACCAAATCGTCTTTTTCTCGCACACGCACGACCAAAGTAACACAAGCTCGGATATACAGTCTGACTCGTTCATCTACAGGAACTCAGTTTGCAGGTAGAGCGCAAGTTGCCATAGCAACGCCCAGTGCGCGGGTTGGCAGGCTCACCAGGCCCATTCGCACCACCACGAATCGTGCTAGACACAGGTTGAATGAGTGGTGTGTGCGCAAAGCCTGCAGAGATCCTCGCAAGAACAACAGAGACAGGTATATGCGGAATACAAACACACACAAGAGGTCTATGTGTTGGAAGGAGGCTACAAGCACGCACAAACATCTGCACCCCGAGGCGAGCCCTGATCGTCAGCTGGCATCTGCGTACACACATGTGCATAGCATGGAGCACGCAGAGAAATTGGCGGACGCTGACGCCAAGACGCAGGATAACCGAGATGGTGCGGAAATAACAAATGGGCCCGTGCTGTACGATCGGTATGGTGTGAAGATTACATCTGCGCGTGTCTGTGTGGGGTCTACCGCTGTGGCGTTGCGAGTGGTCTTTGATACTAGCGCACAACGACGCCCCGAGTTAAACTATACTCAGATACTGTACACTTGAAGCGGTGTTGTGGAGCGGAAGGAGGGGGGGAGAAGGTGACCATAGCTGAGGAAAGCACGAAACGTAGCAGAGCGTAGCCGAGAAACTAATAGATGA